ATCTCCTGAGTGTTGGCTTCCTACCCGCTGCGGCCATGGTATCCGATCCCGCTTCAAATCCCTTCGTCAAGGCTGCTGTGTATAGATGACAATATAGTTATTCCTATCATCCGTCTGTTCTGTTGGTCATAAAGCTGCTACCACGGCGCTCACGCTTTCGAGCCCTGAAGCAGTAGTGATAGCACCAGCGAATGCGTTTTCGACATTCAGCACATCCGTACTTTCGACGTCGTCGTCGCGGAATTCAGGTCCAACATTTCCTGAACTGCGCTTCTCGGAGCTTCCTGTATACGTTCAAAGCCGAGAATCTCTCTGCCAACAAGCACGACGCTTCCTCCCGATGCACCCGAATTAAGGGGCTCTCTCCCTCAAGGTGTTCAGCTAGACCTTCAAGTCTGGCTTGGCTCCAAGATCGGCATATGAGTTTGACTTCGTCCACGACAACACTGCGGCCATGAAACATAAGATGAGGAAACTGTGTAAAGCCGCATGCTCCGCTCTTGGTCCTTTAGCGCTACAGCCTGACGATCGCCAGTCGCATCGCGTCACTGCTACGGTCCCAAATAAATCAGCGTAAGCGTATCCAATGCTCCTTCAATTTCGTCTCGTTGACATGGCCACAAAAGCCGAATGGACTATCAAGCGCCCAATCGCCCTCCAAATAGCAGATTCTCGTCATGTTGTTTGTACAGATCCGATCAGTCGTGTCCACATGCAAGAGAAGTTGCTTGTTGTCGCGATCGCTGCCTTCCCTTCGTCTCACAGACCCATTTTTTCAGACCATCGCCAAGTTCCGTGAAGAAGACTTAGTGACTGACATTTGCGTACACCTTTAAAAACCGTTTGCAACGTCAAATCCTGTTTACGATATCATCTCACCATATAGCGTCTACGAACAGCTCGTTCCTTCAACAAACGACGATGCCGTCATGGATGCCGCCTATGGTCTTCGAGCGTTGACTTGTGCCAATTCCGCCGATCCCCTCTTCGACCATGCTGAAGGACCTTTCTCTTGTGTAATCTTCATGGCCGCCGTGTAGAGCTGACGCACGAACAACGCCTTGCGACGGCACAATTGAGTCGCCTTCCGCTTGTGGTAATTCAAGCGGCTTTCGGCACTGGTAAAACCGCAATGGGGCTCTAATCGCCGCATCCCTTGCGGCCACCTCCCCCGTGATCATCACGGCGTCCACGAACACCGCAATCGCCTAATTCGCGGACACACGTCGAGCGCTAAGTGGTTACGAGAGCGCTATCTCGCTGATGCATAGGCCACGGACAATCCCACCGACGGCGACCTCAACACCGTACTCAAAAGTTTTGAACAGGACGCCTGAAAGCGCAGGAACGAAGACGAACGTGACCTTTGCCGAAAGTTTCGACCCCGAAGAAAATCATCGAAAATATTTGTCCGATCCTGTGCTAGCTTTCCACATAACCGAGGAGGACAAACAAGAATATATAATATCGGAAAGATTCTTCTCGCGAAACGTGAAAAAGAGGTAAGTCTACTTTTTATTCTTTACTTTCCACGCCCCACATATTCTCCTGGCTACAACTTCTTCTCTTTTGAACATCACCTCCCGGGAGGTGGGTTCAAAATACGCGTCACCCAGTTCAAGGCACTGATCGGCGACGTGGCGTCACATATCCCTGAGCCAGTGATGGGAGCAATAGCTGTGCGTTTACCTCAGCTACGCCACATATATATTGGGAATATACATCAGTTAGAACCGCACGCACTCTGCCCTCGTTCAGCAAACCCGGCTCGGTATGGTGCGAAGAGTATCATGACTATTGTGTCGAAGGCGCGTGCTGTGCCCGTCGTCAATCTGCTTACCACCTTTTGGGCCGCCCCCCATCTCATTGAGCTGCCAAACCATGTCGCTTATGAAGGCACCTCAACGAGTGGCAATAGTCGCCAGGATCAACGACTTCTGCTCAAAGCGATGCCTTTCCCCCACTTTATCACACCAATCATGCTTATATTTCATGTCAATGGCTTTACGCGCACCTAGTCATTCACTGTACAGTAACGCAGAGGCTTGCTGGAATTTGGTTAAGCGCCTACTTGCAAAAGGCATCTCCCCCGACACCATCTGCATCATAACTTTTCATCGCGAACAGTTCAGGGGGCTCCTAGAGACCGCCAGGCATCTCAGGGTGAGTAACTGCGAACTCCATTCAAGAACGAGAACGAGACTTATTAATTTTACTGACTACATGAACAGAAGTTGATAAAACAACAATAGATTTCTTTGATGATTATCGCCGCATTAATGTGGCAACATCGCGCTGCCGTGAAGGGCATTTCATTCTGGGAAGGAAAGTGTGAGTTGAGAGCTATGCTAGTAAGATGTCAGGTTGTGAGAGTATGAGAGCAGCGCTGCGCGTTATGCGTTCTTTCGCGGCTATGTTGTTATAAGCTAATTCGACATATTTTTGGCGGGTATGACGGCGACTCAGCAAATTTTCATTCAACGACGGATTCACAGCGACAGCTTCTCGTCCGATCCCGTTTCTCATCCCCTCGTCAAGGCTGCTGTGTATCAGTTGCACAATAAAGATATTCCTGTCATTCGTATGTTCTGTTTTGGTCATAAAGCTGCTTCCACTGCGCTCACGCTTTCTTAGAATCCTGAGAATAAGCGATGATTCAAGTACTCGGAAAACAAATATTTTTTGACCTAACTTTTCCACCCTGTTATCAGTAAGTTACCTAAGACGAAAATAGAAGAATAACAAAGAAGAAAACATTGGAAAATATTGCTCGGAAACTCGTAATGCCAATTGTTGACGTACAAGCGTTATCGCGTCTGCAGGGACCCTACATCAAGCAGGAGATCTTACTCGACTGTGCGCTCTCCGGTTCTATCTAAGGCGTCATGTATTAGAACTTTAGTAACTTCACAATTTCAGCCGACTTTTGTTAGAGATTCGTTCTGCAGATATGGAAGGTCAGTAAATAGTAAGCGCATCAAATGCAAAACATGCAGGGTTCTTATGATGAACTTTTAGGGTACTTTAAAAAGAATACTTGCCTGAAGAGCGGAGTCAACTGAAGACGGATTTATCTGGTTCATAAAGCGGCCTTAGACGCCAGATTTTAGGTACTTTTTCCGTTGCTTGGCTTCTCCTTGGCATTTGCGAAACCTGATTTTTCGTTGTTGAATTGTGAATCGGTGGTCCGCAGCGGAAACCTCCGGTTGAATTACCGCCGAAAAGATTTCAAACGTGCCGCAGCGTTCTTACCCTGTTTTTCAGCCTTTCGCATTTGCCATCCAATTTAGATCTCTTTCTACCCTCTACTTTCCAATTTTCACTTTTTTGAGGGAGGGGGGGGGAGGGGATGTTAACAACCTTTACTTTTGAGGCTCTATCTCTAGATTATTGGAGGCAAGGATGTTTCAATCACTGCACTCTTTCGTAGTGCAGTAATCAAAGCAACTTCGATAGATGAGGGCCAAGGAACAGAACAACTGCGTGAATGTGGCCTATAACAGCTCTTTTCATGTCCGAGTGAGGGAAGGTTATGTGTTCAGACGTTTCGCTGTTTGGTGTTCGTTACAGTTCTTCTGTGAATGTTTTTAGCGTTAAGCTTCTTGAAGATAACCTCTTCATTACCGGTACGGCGCGCTGAGGCACTAAAATACATGCCGCTGTCAAATGTGCACACCACCGATAGCTAATGCTCATCAAATAATCCACAGACATTTACTAACGCTCAAGGTACGTTGGATGTGCAGGATGCTGTAGCAGTGAATGTCCCATGACGCATTTTTGATAATAAAATGTTACGCGCGAAAGTGATGAAGCATATTTGCACTTGTAAGTAGGAGCATATTTTGGTGATCGTGTCACGATCGTTGAAAAGCCAAGCTACTTGTCATTGAGACCTTCAGTGGGCTAACCGAAATGCAAAATGTCTTGCCCTGCTTGATGTGCTCCAAAAATTTTAGATGTTTTGACCAAGCTGCAGAGATGAGACAAGTGGGAAGCTCGTTCTTCAAGCTTTCAGTGAACTCTTGTAATCCAAACCTTAGGGCCTCAATTGGTAAATATCTCATTGTGAAAACCGCTTTAAGATTTTTCTTGCAAAGGCAATAGTCATATTTTAATGACGAAGCTCTCTATTTTGTTTGAATCTCGCAAAACTCAAAAAAGCAAAAGGGAAAGTATGACTTAAAAAGTTGATGATCAGACTCTCTTTCTTATATCTCTATGATGGCCATTTTCAAAGAAGTTGAATGTGAGTTCTGCTTAATCAAATGGCCTCTGCTGAGTTGTTGAGCTTTTGGATTAAAGAGCAATACTCAAGCTCACCGGTGGCTTCGTTCATTTCTAAACATTTTCATATGTGTTCCTCTATCCTTACGCAAAACTAGAGATCACGAAGTCCGCTGGAGATAGCGACACCTTGTCGAAAGTACGGATACGTCTTGGATGAGTGTTACATTGTATGTAACTACAAGCTACAACCACTTTAACACACTTATATCGCACAGAGTTCTTGCGCGTAGTTGTTTGTCGCAAAAACGGTGGATTGGCAATCAGAACACCTCGGAAGTACAGGGCTTATCAACCGCGACGTCGGCAGCACCAGCATCTCCGTTCCCGCGCGACCCCTTCGCCTGGACTCTGCACCTCTTTCGCGATGCGTGCTCTTTCACTTTCCCACGTGATTTTAGAAAAGGCGGAGATTTAGTAGATTGGATATGATTAGAGAGCATGTTCGCGGAAGAGGTGCAGAGTCCCGCGCGGGAGTGGAGATGATGGTGCACCCGAATCGCAACTGAAAAGCCCTCTATGCTATCATTTCAGTTAATTTCCTGTTTGACTCGAACAGCATAATCAAAGCCTTTATAAACGAGTGTGACTCATGGATGAAATGGTATGCTAGAGTTGGCAGTATAAGCACAGTGGTTGGAGGCAGCTTTAGCCCTTTGCAAGTCGATAACGAACCATTAAAGAGGAAAGTGAAAATTAACATAAAAGATTCAGAGGGCCCGTTATATTATATGTTGAAAGAATGAATCAATACAGTCTATAGATTTATAATTACAGTTGCCCGAAGAAACAGTGTGAAAGCGGTTAAGTCATTAAACAGCTTGTAGCATAAATAGTATTGATGCTTGACGTAAGAGTACTGCAATTGACATAAATGAGTTGAAATGATCTTAGGACTTTATAGGTCGAGAGTCAGCTTGAAATCGTCGCAGGAGTAAAGATAAGACAAGGGAATTCATCTTCCGATTTGACCTCCCGTGCACATCCGCCTTTTTTATTTGGATTGGAAGTACTGGCCGCGCAATTGCGTCGATTACGGTAACCATTGTGCATCCGCAACATCCGACTGATCTCTCTCTGCTGGCACCTTTCCAACTAAAGTTCTAAGAACAGCGGCAGCGCTCAACTTTGGCATTTATCCTTTCGCGTTTCCATTTACTTTCAATTGTTGTGTTCGATTAACTGAGCCTCATGGATGTGCTATCCATCCGTCATGGATTTCGCGGTCAAACGAGATGTTTTTTGGAACCGAGCGTGGACTTGGCATATTTCATAATCTCTGGCCGAATGGAAGCCGCACTAAAACTGGAAAAATTCAGGAAGCAAGCATGCTGTTTTCACACGCTTTGGTGGCTCGCTTTAAGTCCGCTTCAAATTCTCAGGATTTCACCTAGATAAACGGAGTAGGACGGAAAGAAGCAGCTCTTTTGCATTGGGTTTGCCTGTATAGTTGCAGTATTTTTACGAGGATCCCACTCATCAAAGCTAGTTATGCTGGTGCTCCTTCGTGTTAAAATCTTATTTGTCTTTGGCCTTTTCATCATCTTCGGAATCACTTTCTTCTCGAATGCCAAGTTTTTTGTTTCTGACGGACTTGTGTGTGGCCTAAATATAGTTACTCCAATCAAAACTTTGCAGTGTTTCCAAGTCAAATAATTAGCTTCAAATTAGGGTCTTTATCAAAAACTTGCCTTCATTATGACATAGGTCCAAAATACGTGAAATACAAAGAGTGATGAGAGCAGCATGAGCACTAATTTTGGTGCTAGAGGTCGCTGCCATAGACTGGTCCAGCGATAAGATGGCTGAAAGAACGAGAAATGATGACAGTGCCAGAGTATGCGCATCAAATTATATGGTTATGTCCTCATCTCATAAGGGAAGATCATTTGAAGTGGCTTTCAGATGAGAAACATAATAGTATCTTATAAGGGATATGTTTTCTATGTCTTTGCTATCTACCGCAACTCGGAGTTCAGCACTCCTCGCCCTAGTGTCTGTCCGCCTGATACCACAACCTTTAACCCCTGAACCCTACGTCTCTACGGCTGTGGGCACCTTAGGCACGTCTGCTCAAAGAATTCATCTCGGTACCCGCATAATAAAATAGATAGCACAAAAGCGCAACTAGATTAGATTACGCTTATGTAAACACGAATATAGCATATACATAACTGCTAAAGAAAACCTAAAAAATCCTACCACTAAAAAGAACAATGTAGGCGCGGACGAGCCGCCTCCAGTGCTGCCGATGCTCACAAAATTACGATCTCCACGCGAGATCGTTCCGGACTTGTCCACCGGGTGGACCGCAAGTCCCAAGCTCTTACGGGGATGGCGCGAACCCTGTCCACTCCCACTGGTATCATTCAATTACTAGACAAGCAAAAATTTCTAGTTGCGCGTCTCAAAACCAAGAAGATGGCAAAAGCTCAACCGCTCGAAACCATAAATCTGCGGGAGCTACTGAACGCACTGCCAGCACCGACATCATAAAAGATTATTACGAACGAACTTAAAGAGGCACACACCGCTGTTAGCGCAGCCTTAAATATCCCTTGGCTTGGCAACGCCCTTAGCAGGAAAAGTCCGGGCGCGAATTGTATCGCGTCCGGTCGCGACAACTAGCGCTCCCGGCCTCCTGTCACGAGGAGTGGCGTGCATCGCGAGCCGCGACGACTGCTGTTCTACTGTAAATGAAAGATTGCTCTAAAATTCTTATAACTTTTTGGACAAGGGCCAGCCCTAACTCTAACGACAAATTTTGAGACAGCGTTTGTTGGCCTCCAGGATCTGATATGTCTTTCATGAGTAGTCTATTTTTATGATAGTTCTCAAAATCACACCTGAAGCAATTCCGGGGCGTCAAATAACACTGATCGCAAAATCCAAAATGGATAGTAGACGAGGCGAGTGGCAGTCCAAACAGTAAAGAAAATCAAAAATATGATATCTCTCAGTTTAAGCCACATAGCATAGCGCGCCATCCTCATCGCTTCTCTGCAGTGTCTACTTTGTGCAAGCTAGATGAGGAGAAGAGGTCTGCCGATAAACTAACAACAAAATATCCGCAGCATCATGAGTGAAAAGTATCAGTGTACCAACGCGAACCATATTCGCGGACCAGCTTATGTAAAGTAACAAGATTGCGATTACGTGATGCACCAACATTTGGAGGAAGTCTGCCCTGCGGACATCGATGCAAAGTGTACTGAAAAAGCGTCTTCAAAATAAATCAATAGGTTGATAAGAATAGCGAACCCTATAAGCAATGCCCAGTAAAAGGAGGCTTCCAAGATATAGTACCACCAGACTGCATTCGTTATGTTATGATGAGGCCAACCGCGCCAACATTCAGTCACGTCCATCAACTGTGGCTCTCTCATTAGGACCACAAGACTGAAAATATTAATTAGTTACAACCTAATATCAGAGAAACTTGCCCTGCTGTCCAAACGCAAACATAGAAGCAGAGACGCCAAGCACATGCAGCAACCCTTTTGAACTTACTTCTTCCAGCAAATCCACCTTATACACAGATTTCATTATTTGAATTAACAGTGATATGGTCGTTTACCAAAAATATGAGACCATATTTGAGGTAGAAGAGGTGAAGAGATCCAACCGCCTATCCAGCCGATAGGCAGGAAGACAAATGATTCCAGAAGAACCCGTGTGATCTGGCACTCAATTTATCAAAAGTCTTTAAACTAAGTGATACTCACCAGTAAAGCAAAACCAAAGACTACAGTGTACCGGAGATCGGTTACTTGCGGATAACTGATATTTGCATTCGCCATATCAGTCCATGATGTGTTTTCTCCCAGCCAGATGTACTCATCCCAAAAGTCCCACATGCCAATCTATAGAAAGGTGTTTGGATTTTGGCTTCTTAATGCAGATGACGAGGGTTGTATTAGGTCGTTCCGAAAGTAATGTCGCTTTTTTCAAACGTATGCCACATCTCGTAGAACAAAGATGTGTAAAAAATTCTGGTAGCGTTCGATGCAGCATTTCACTTTCTAATGGTTATGAAGTTGTTGCAATACAGTCAATGAGCTTCCAGAAAAAAAGTCAAAATCTGCGACCTATGCTTTTTGAGATGGCCAAGTTTCACAATTTTTCTAAAATTTTATAACAAACCTCAGAAGGAGTCCAAGTAATGGATAAATGGAGCAAACCCTACAGGAAACAGCACAACTTTTTTCTACTTTTCAGAGCTCGTCATAATTTTTTACAGATTTTTCGATGGAACCACCGAATAGCAGGCTCGTCTCAGACACAAGTGCATCAAACGCCAACAAGTTCGGATTTTGAAACTTACAAAGATGAATTATGGTTTGGCAACAATTTTACGAACCAAACGGGCATTCACCGCTTCGGTATAGCAACTTTCGAAAATTTCGGGTACACCTTGGGGTGCCTTGGGAAAGTTGAGTTATGAGGATTTTATCCCGGAAAACTTGATGAACCGGAAACAAAAAAAAAAGAACCGCTAGAAAGAGGAGAAAAAGCCTGCATCGAATGACACCCGAGTCGCTTGCCGGTTGTTGTTCTGTGAGGTTTGACTTGACTAAATATGGAATTTGATGGCATTGAGAATTTGATTGTAGAAACTCTGGAAGCAAGCTAGGGAAAAGAAAAAATTACTCTGTGTTCTATAGTGTTTGCTGTATCTACCTGCCGCTTGTACTTTTTCGGAGATTAGGTACAAAAATTTAGAAAAATAGCCGAACTTGACCATGGCAAAGAGCATGAGTCGCAGATTTTGGTAATTTTTCAAGAGCTCATTAAACATTATGCAGTGAAATTAGAACCATTAGAAAAAGGATGAAATGCTGCATCGAATGCTCCTAGGATCTCTCAAATATGTTGGTTACACGAATAGTGGCGTTAATTCGAAAAAAGCGACATTACTTTCGGAACGACCTAATACAATGTGCATGCCGACGGATTGTGCACCAGCAATCTCACAAGACTGTTCAGAAAAACTAAGAAACACACATAACTGCTTTAAAGTGGAATAATGCTTTAAATTTCGAGCACCAAGCGAGCTTGCAATACTTCTAAATTCGCTAATTGCCCGGTTTCCGTTTCCTGGAGCATTTATCTGCCCTTGTGCAACTAGCCCCCCCCCCCCCCAGCTCAAAGTCACAAGGAATAAAGTCAATGAGAATGGTTATTGCTGTCGTAATCAGCACCCTCACTTATTCCCGAATTCCATTCCAGCTCCACAGGCCGAAATTTGCGACAATGAAAGCAGTATGTTTTCCCAATATCTTTCTGTGATCATCATAATTACTTACCCCTTTGGGAACTCTCAGCTTTCGGGGGCTGGCGTTATGGGGCAAAGCTGCGCCGCATTTCCCTGCTGTACATTTGCAGCCGCAGGAGCAGAATTAGCGCTAATCCTGCCAACGGATTGAGCCATTCCCTACAGCTACGTAATAATCTTTCAAATAGTATAAATGCAATAAAAAATCAAAAATCAATAAAAATAATAGCTGCAATTAGGAGCGACGCAACGCAAAGGGTCCTCAGGATATACCGCAGGCGAATGCGGTGTTTTGCTCCATAACGCCACGCCGTCACTTTCCGACTCAAGGTTAGCAAGGATTTGAAAAGTGGCAACTGGCATGCAATCAGTAACCTTTGTACTTGTGTAAAGTGTACTTCTCCTATAGAATGTCTTCGGCGCATGCCCGAATACAAGATGCTAGATTCTAATTTTATTATCGGCGAGTGTATTTTCTTGTGCCGAGTGCGTAGCAGTTTTACCCAGGCAGCCGCCTGGTGCCGCAACTAACATCAGCGCCGTGGCCGAGCTACCGTAAGTGCGCTCTCAAAGCAACCTCGCACCACATCGCGCTAAAGTGCGAGAATTTCCTCAGGGGTCGCGCGATTTCTACAAATTGTATATCGATCGGGACCGCAGAAAATTCATAGTTCATTAGCACCTTGCAATACAGAATATATTTATACAAGAAAATAAAATGATGAAACAATTATTTTTCACAAACAGGGTTGAACTGAGGTTATAATAATGATACAAAATGCAGAAAAACTTTAGTAAAGCAGAAAACTGGACGTATTGATCATCGATGCAATTTGAAGCTTCAGAGAAGAGAAACCGGCATAAAATTTTTTGTATTGCAATGTCAAAATTTGTCACAGAAAGACCATTTGATAAAAGTCCAATTGTGAAAGCTTAACTGTACGTAAAGTTGGTTGTGATCGTAAATGTGATTTCGTATTGTTTTTATCTTTTTGTTTCTTCTTTGTTTTCGAATATTTTTTGTATTGCAAGTTACTAATCTTCTTACACAGGTTGTCCCAAAAAATGTGCCTGCTGTTTGATTGTTAATAACTCTCTTGTAATGAAGCCTTTCAAGAATCTTTGGGTACCGTTTCATAAAGCTGGCTTTAAAGGCAGTGTCCGGGCAAAAACTCGATTTTGAGATTTCGTGCTTATACGGCCCATTCGCCATGCTGAACCCGAAAATCCACACTGAAAAGCACAAAAACGGCAAAAAAGGGCTCGAGCGCAGGAGGGAGACAGCAAGTGGGCGGGGTCCTCTCCGCGGTGAATTCACGCTTCCAGCTTCCGGAGCGGTCTTCTCGATTTCGCAAGCCGTTCTAACATCGCTACCGGCCAAGTGCGAATGACTGACTTGAAATCGGAAGCGAGAAGATCGCTGCGTAAGCTGGGAGCGTGAATTCACAGTGGGAAGGACCCGCCCACTTGCTGATCCCCCTCCTGTGTTAGAGCCGTTATTCGCAGTTTTCGCGCTCTTTAATGTGCATTTTCGGATTCAGCGTAGCGGATAGGCCCGGGTAAGCAGAAAATCTCAAAATCGAGCTTTTGCCCAGACACTGCCTTTAACCTTGAATTACGATATAAAGCGAATTACCGATCGCTGTTCATTACTGTAGGTTACAGTAGAAACTTCAGGTATATGGTGTCATTGTGAAAAAACATTTCAAATTTTCAAAAAATGTGAAAGCTTGTGTAATAGGGTTTTCGTGGACGCTAAGTTCAATGCTCAACTATGTACAAGAGTGCGAAGCTTTTTAAACGGTGTAATCGCACTTACAAGGGAATGGTCAGAAGTCGAAGTGGCCAATCCATACAAGCTGCATACAATTAGATGCAGCATAAAACATGACAACATAAAACGCTGGCTCTAAATCTGCTTTCCTTTTCTGCAGAGCGCTTTTGTGGATGAAATTATAAGCCGTTAAACGCCATAATTTTGCTAGGAAATCATGCGTGTAAAGGTCAAACTTGGCCGTGCAGAGCCACTCTCGGCTCAGTGTTGGACCGGAACATGCAACTAGGTCTCTTCATATGGCTCGTACTCAAAGGTGAGCTTTAACGGCAACAGTGTGCCTAGTCTCGCAATTTTTGTGTACGATTTTTTCGCAGTAAAGCTGGTCATAACTTCGCCAACAAAGGCGCTCTGCAGATACGGAAGGAAGATTTGAAATCAACTTCGATGCTGCATCGAATGGTATACAGCTTGTTTGGATTGGCCACTTCGACTTCTGACCATTCCCTTGTTAGGAACATTTGAAACGGCCGCTACTGCTTACCTCGCATGACTTTTTAATGAAGCATTATGACAAGCTGCGAACTTCGCATTTAGAATCAGCAACTTTAATCAACCCAATGTGAAAGTTTTCAAATTATTTTTTTCCTTTCTGAGGCAAGATATGGCCCTTTCATGACTCAAGAACCCTCTTTGAAGTTTCTACCGTAGTCCCACAGTAATTAAAAGAGATGGGTGATTCCTTCTATATTGTAAGTCTAAGTTGACCAGCTCTACAAAACGGTGCCTAAAGCTTCTCGAAAGACTTCATTACAGGGGAGTTATTAACGATCAGACAGTAGGCACATTTATCGGGACACCCTGTATATAAAGCTGAATGTCTGTTTGTCTGTCTGTCTGTGTGTCTGTGAGAACGTAAGTTGCAAATAGAAAGTTCTATCTCTTAATCGATCTGGACCAAACACTGCACACATACACTACGGGGCGGGGCGAGTGTCGTAGGCTACTTTCCTTTATCGATCAATATCAATTTTATCAGTTCTCATCGATTTTTTTCAAAGTTTGGGCTAAGGGGTTGGGAGCTGACAAATGGGGGGGGGGTATAATCGAGCATGCTGATTACGAAAACAATATTAGTTTCTAAAACTAACAACTACTTCTATCGATTTTATCGATTTGTTTTGCAAACTTCGAGCTACGGGGCTAAGAATTGGCACAGGGGGGTAAGTGAGCATGCTGAGTACCTACAGCGGGAATGAGTTGGCATGTAGAAGTGGACACAGGGGCCCGTAGTAATCTACCCTACCAGGTGGCATCAAAGATGCCGGCAAGTTCGCGAACCTCGCGGCACGTTCGTGTTTCGGGCGCAAGCTAAACCTTGCTTTAAATTCTCGTTTTTTAATTAGTTTTTCTCTTTTCTTTATACTTCTCGAGCTTGACGTCTTATTTTCATATTACCCGTACTCCGCAGTCATATGCAAATGACATCTCGATAACGCACGCAGCCGCAGAACACTTACATCAAGCGCGTTCGAACCTGCATGCGTCAACTTTGAGCGCCGCAGCACTAACCATTCAACCACGCGGCCAGTTTTTCTACGTGCGGCAGCAATGACAAAAACGCACAAAAAAGTCGCGCCTGTGAGAGCACAGGATCAATACATTGCGTGATAGACGTTAACCTGAAAGAACAGCTGATTGATAAGTGCAAGAGGCAGGCGAAAGCGTTGCAAACAATATTTAAAACATTGCAAGAAGAAGATGGCGCTCTTTTTGGTTATATGAAATAAATATCTATTTTTTTCTATAAAT